TTTTTTTTTTTTTTTTTTTTTTTTGGGGGGGGGGGGGTGCTTATTGTAAATAGAGTATAATGGGCCCCAAAGCCCTATTCTAATCATTAAGGCCCCTATACCCTAAACCCTTATAGTAGCCCTTATAGAACCCTTTAAGGAACCCTTTGAAGGAACCCCGAAACCCTATTCTAGTTATTCAGGCCCCTATAGTAGGGGCAACTTCGACACCCCAAAAGTTCCTTCAGCTCCAAACTCTCCTTAACACCCTAAACGGTTCAGGGTTTAGGGTTTAAGGTTTAGAGTTTAGGGCTTCTAGGGTTTAGGGTTTAGGGTTTAGAGTTCAGGGTTTATGAATATACATTATCATGACCCCCCCAACCCACGGAAAAGAAGCCGTAGATTGAATGTTAACCTGTCAAAGCCCTCTACGTCTACGTCGCTTCAAGGCTGTCTACTACAGGCGCCTACAGAATTACCTTTACTATTTTGGGGGTTCCTTACTTTAATATAATTACAGTATAATGGGCCCCAAAACCCTGTTCTAATTACTAAGGCCCCTAAACCCTTATAGTAGCCCTGATAGAACACTTTCAGGAACCCTTGGAAGGAACCCCAAAACCCTATTCCTACATTAAATTGCGCCGTTGCTTCACCACTTGGAGGATCATGGGACTTAGTAAGTAAGGTTATAAGGCCCCTAATTGGGGTTATAAGTATAGTTACCTTAGTTATAACCCTACTTACTAAGTCCCATGATCCTTTAAGCAAGGAGCTGGCGACGGCCGCGATCAACGCAGTGCCCAGGATGATCGACAGCTGTGTGGGCAGTGTATGTCCCCAGTGGGCCTCATTGGCAAGCCTGGGCGGTTTAGGGTTTAGGGTTTAGGGTTTAGGGTTTCGGGCTTTAGGGCTTTAGAGTTTAGGGCTTTAGGGTTTAGGGTTTAGGGTTTAAATCCTAAACCCCAAATCCTAAACCCTAAACCCTAAACCGTAAACCCCAAGCAAGCCGTGAAGCCAAAGCCCTTTGGGCTTTTTAGGCTTCAGGGCATGGAGGCATGTATGAATGAGGGAAAAGACTGTAGGGCTCTTGGGGTGTAGAGGTTTGGGCATTGCTTCCGTTGCGTGCCTGGCCCCTCAAAAACAACCAAAATAGGGTTTAGGGTTTAGGGTTTTGGGTTTAGGGTCCCTAAACCCTAAACCCTAAACCCCAAACCATGAAACAACACCAAAGGCTCACCAAAACCCGGAAATTGTAGAGAACGTGGCAAAGATGACTCAACAAAACGCTGAAGGCTCACCAAAACCCAGAAATTGCAGAGAACGCGACAAGGTTGACACACCGATGATCATGACCATCGCCGCAGACAGCAAGCTGATCTCGATCCTGCCGACCCGAAACTGCGACGTTTAGGCCTTGCTGTAGCGGAAAGGACCTTCCTTTTTCCGGTTTCCAACCCTGAACCTTAAACCCGAAACCAAAACAAAACCCTAAACCCTAAACCCTAAACCCTCAACCAAAACAAAACCCTAAAAATAGTTCCTGCAAAAAGGTAGGTCTTTTCGGTTACAGGTTGGGCTGAAGACCTTCGGGGCATAAGGTTTTTTAAAGGGTTTAGGGGTTTAGGGTTTAGGGTTTAGGGTTTTTGGCATAAGGTTTTTTAAAGGGTGTTGACATGCCCTTTCCGACCGCCTGCTAGAGTAGCACACAGTGAATCGACTTTGTACACAACGACACAGAGTCTAGGAGACGAGCAGCACCTCAAAGATCCCAAGGTTCAGGGTTTAGGGTTTACGGTGTAGGGTTTAGGGTTTAGGGTTTAGGGTTCAGGGTTCAAGTGTTCAGGGTTTAGGGTTCAGGGTTCAAGTGTTCAGGGTTTAGGGTTCAAGTTTAGGGCTTAGGGGCTTAAGGGTTTAGGGTTTAGGGTTCGGTTGATTAGCTTAACCATAAGACCCCATGTGGTACCCATATCCAACCAGCCGTCAAGTATGCCCAGGCAGGTTTTTAAGGGCTGCGAGTGAAGCCCTAGCTAGGCCGTCCAAAATCAACCCAAAACCCTAAACCCCCCTAAACCCTAAACTCCTACACCCTAAACCCCTGAACCCTCAACCCTACACCCTAAACCCCGAAACCCTAAGCCNNCCCCCCCCCCCCCCCCGAACCCTCCATCCTCAGGCCCTTCGGGTACCCCAAAACATCCGAAAGAGCCTCAACCTCCCGAAGCCTTACATCCCAAGGCCCTTGCTTTTCGAGAGATTGAGTAGTGCTTCTGCCTTAAGGTGGGGCTCAAGGAGGGACCCTTAAAGGGACCCTTGGGGTTATGTAGGGGCTTTATGAGACTATATAAGGGGTATAGAAAGCTTATATAGGGTATTTGCATTAGGGGTCCCTTCTAGGGGTCCCTTCTATCGTCCCTAAATCCTATGTCTGCCTTTCAACTTTGCCGCTGATTGGGGTTTGGTGGTTTGTTGTCGGTGGCTAGCTGTAGGAGTCGTGGTATTGCTTTTGGGTTGACTGTATAGGCGTTTTTTGGCTTCCAGACTTCGAGCTAAAGTTTACCTCGGCCCTATAAACCCACGTGTGCTAGTATCTGGCCAGAGGCTACCAGCCGAAACCCAAAACCCTAAAACTAAAACCCTAAAACCCTAAAGCC